AATTAAAAGTCACGTGTATTGCACAATTGTTTACATCACATGGCATATATAAATAATATTTTAAAAAATTGATCTACGTTATTTGTCACCGGTTGTTGTTTTGATCTACAAAAACGTGATTTTCTCCTTTTCTATTGAAAAGCGCCTAAATATGGATTAGAGAATCGCTATCAATATGATTATACATTAAGATAAACTTACGATCCACAATCCAGTCAAAAAAAGAATGGATCAGAAGAGGTAAGCACTATATGAAAGCACATTTTTTCTTTTGTATTTACCACTATCCAGCTCAAAATTGATTTGAGAAGAACCTTTCCCTCTTCCGAACTCCCAAGTTGGTTAAACATGTTTGCTTCATCAATGACCAAAATGGGTGGAGGTATATCATAACCACTCCAACAAGTCCAATTTGGGAGAGCATTACCAATATTATCAAGCAACTTACTGACATCATTAGAAGTGATTTTTCTCTCGCTAAATGGATCCCTTCCAAATAGCTTAACTTTTAATTGGATATCATCCATCGTGTAACTGACTTCTCTTTGTTCAAGTAACCTTTTAAAGAGATCCGTATATTTTTTGAAAAATGGTTCGAATTGCGAAGATATTAAATCATATATCCTCTTTGATGTGTCAAATTGTCCTTCACGACAGTTGATGAAAAGAGGGTTGAAATTACTATTACTCATTACCTCACGGATTAATGTGGTTTTCCCAGTACTAGGAGGACCTAGAACGACATGAAGTTCTGGGTCGAAACTAAATGTATTTTTAAACTTATCAAGTTCTCGTTTCCAGTTGAAAAAAACCTTTTCACGAGTAATTTGTATTATACAACGAGCGATACGACCAGTTCTAAGTGCATTTGAGATACAAATACCGCAGGTAGGCAAGCGTTTAGTTACGAGCATGACTGTTGTCGCAATGACTTTTGTCACAAACAACCTAGGCTTTGCTAAAACTGATTTAAAGTTTATATTAAAGCAAGTACTTTTTACTATTATTTATTCAAATGAAGTTTATTAATTAAGAGCGAGACTAATACTAATTTTCCCTAAACTACTATTACATTCGCTTTGCTCATATATACATATTTTGGGTCACTTACATCATAATGCGTTCATATACGATCATACGATCGTTTGACTCTTTATTAATAATAAATTACCTCATCTTTCATGCATACTGATTACCTTACTTCGTTGCTCGATCACTTACTTGTCACGTGTAAATAGTAAAGGTTAGATATAACCCGTGTAACTATTAATATTAACGCAAATAAGGTATGAATACTTCGGTTGTAGTTGTGTGATTATGGGATTCCCTTATGTCAAAAAAATCCCGGGCTAAGGATCTACAAAAATTAGGCTCGGAGCCAATAAAAATTGCAGGATCTTGCAGATCTTAACGTAAATCTAAACAAACGCCAAAAATAAAGAAATCATAAATAACGCAAAATTTTACTATG